TGAATAGATCTTGATTTTGGCAAGTTAAACAGTGTATGTGCGGTAGTTTTTAATATATTTATTGAAACATAAATCCGCGCACAGAAAAGATTGATTTGTAGCGCTGGATGGCTGAAACCGGGATGTATGATTGCAGATTGTTAGTAACTTGCTTATAACCACATCTGCGTGCGCTTGAGCAACTTAATGTTATGCAAGCTAAATTTTGCGTATTTGTTAAAATAGCTTGAACATTTATTTGATGGCAGAACGTAGGAGAGGAATCGGCTGGATTTACTAGATATATTACTCCTGTGATATCTTTAGAGGCCTAGAGAGAATGTTTGATATTACCGACTACTAAAGCGTATAGCAGACCACATTTACAGCACACCCTAACGATATCACGGTTTTACTGCACATCTTAATTGTGCATCATTCCACCTGGTAACGCTATGGATAACATTTGCTTCTTTTTTCTTATATCTGTCTCCATTTATTTTTGAGCACACTTTGGACTATATTTAAGGCGGCCATTTAGATTTCCATCCAAAAGTTAAGTCATCACAGACAGTCATCTTGGGTTCTTATTTTTTACGCGAAATTTCTCAAAACTATAACAATATGACTGTTCTTCTTACATTCATTCCAAACTCATGCATATTTGTAGTGGTATGGTCCAATTTGAGTTACTGTTTCTCCAATCCGTTCGTGGTAATCCACACAAAAGTGGGAGCAAATTTCCGTTCACAACACTACAGTACAGCAACTAGAAACGGGAACCTTGTTATGTAAACTGATAACTCCACTCGCATCGAGCGGTGCTCGTCACCATGTGGAATGATTAATTGGACACCATTTAGAATTACTTGTAAACGACGCAATTCAGCTTGACAGACTGATCGCAGATTCACTCGCGTGGCACCATTATCTGCCTTCTCGACGTCCAACTGAGGTTCGCCCAAAGTAAATGTCCCGCTAGCATATATCAGTGTCTCGCTACCTTCACACTTGACACAGAGATCGTATTACATTCCAGCTAGTGTGAAAAACTTGAATTATTGCGGGTTTCGATTTTAGGTCAATATAGCTCTCTCCTTTAGCTGCCACTATACGCCACGCTGTACTACCATCGCCTTCAGTTAAATGCACTGATATGCAGACAAGTCGTCACTGTTGATTCCGGAACAGAGGCAATATGATGCGACATCCAAATGGATATGGTTGTGCACGGGTAGCATTCTAGGCACAGATAAATTTGTCGAGATATGCTCGCGCTCAGAAAGAACGACCAGGGGAAATAAATGGTAACAGAAGACGGACTGACTGGTGACTATGCATACCTGTTGCCTCTCGCTCACCATGGAAAAGAGACTTTCAGACCGGCTTTGGCTTGCCTTTCGACAGAGATAGCCTCCCTTTAACCTAGGAGACTGCATTCACTGCACATACCAATGATATATTTCATTTCTTCGTTATTTCACCGCGGAATTTATCTTAGCTGAACTTATACAAATCAATGGACTTAATCGCATCATTTATCTGCAAACTTGTAAGTTTGCCTACTCCATTTCCATAATCTTTGTGTCATGCTTATCCGATCGCGCACGTAAGTCGCGCTTGGTTACATGTTCATGCCACTATGATTAACTATTGACTTGTTGTAATGTAGTATCTTTATTGCACATGCCTAGAACGGTTAGGCCTTATCTAACTTACTTTAATTGGGCTTACTAAACTTGGTTGTATTTCGCGATGACTTCACTTGTTACCTACTATTCATCATGACCTATGCTATTAGTGCTACCTTCTCAAGTGTAATCTAGTAATTTAACATACCGAACCGGTAATTTATAATGTCTTCTATCCGTATAATTCGGTCCCAATGCACATCTGTATGTAAGATCCATGGTATAACTCACCAGACTATGCTACCCACATTCTGCTCCTTGAAATCGATTTCTAGAGTACATGATCCTAGCATGACCAGCTACACATTGCTAATTAGCACAACGGTCAGAGAGCCGGTGCTTCGTAGGATTATGGTTCTTGTTGTTCATGAGCTCATACGTATTTGGCTTGCGCACCGCGTCTCCGTGCGAATTGTCTTGTTGATGCGGATCAAGGCTAGGATGGCAAATTATTGAGTATGATGGCAGTTCGGTGTATACTTTTGAATAAAAGTTACAGCATTTGGCCGCTTACAGTAGCACGCATAAAGTGTACAGTTTGACGTTTAGAACAAAATGCTCAACTTCGTCTTTCTTTTGACCACGTTTAATTATGTATCCAATTAGAAATTGCCCTGGAAACGCTGTGACAAGTGAACCATCTAGAGAATTTGCTGACTTGCCATTATCATGATGTCGATATGTCATGTTCCGTTCCAAAGATTAGTGATGACATTGACCATAGTGTTTTTCCCTTGTTACTCTGCCATACCATATACACCAGGGAAAATACAAAATCAAGTTATGAGCGGACTGATGGCGGAAACGCACGGAGGCTGACCAGAAGTTTAATTCGCTAGGCCAAGCTACTGGATAGACTAAGACAAGTTTTAAGCCCAACGGGAATGATAAGTCAGTGTTTAAGTATATGTCATTGAAAAGAAAACGGTACATACTGAAAATTTTTTAAGGAGCACCGAATTTGCTGCACCCGTGAATAATTTATGGCTACTGCAGCGTTGACATCGGTATATACAAAAGATTTAGTTCTTGGATGATAGCCTTGTTAGGTCATGGAAATTTACAAAGCAAATTGTACAGTGTTTGGTAAGCCGCATTTTATAGTGTGCAGCTGGACTTAGTTGATGTAGTACTGTATTAGTTGTCTTGACAACGAGGCCGTAAGAGGCAATTATGTGGTGTTGGTACCTGATGATGATTAAGGTTGCGCAACAACAGTTCCTTGAGAACTTGCACGTACCTTGGGCAAGAGATGACCAGACCGGTCGGCGACACGGAGAGCCTGAAGTGAACACCCCATCGCATTTGCACTACTTGCGATCTCCCCATCAGGTACGCAAAGCGGAATGTACTTATAGACAACAACACCTAAATACACTGTATTTGGCTTGACCACTTTTATTTGCCTTTCTAACTAGTAGCCCTACAGATGGCAGTTGATTAACTGTTCCTCTATGAGTTTCGTTCACATATGGACGCCCAATTTTAAGACTGCCATTTTTGTTCTCGTCTAAATGTTAAAGAACACACCAGCATTTCTTATTGGGCACTTAGTAGCAAAGCTGGAAACTAGACTTTTGTTTGGCTGTTGAACTGTTCGCTGAGCTTCGCAATTTTCTTGCAAACATGCTGTCAGCAATGAGGTGACATCATCAGTACGTCGTTGAGTGACGTGCAGTAGCGTAGAGTAACGTAGAGGAGCCACGGTAAGAGTGCACTGAACGTGGTGTGCGTGTGTGTTAACGCTGTTGTGGTTGCTCGTTTAAACGAGCAATCCTCTTGTAAGGGACATCGATCCGAGTTAATTGTACTTGATAGGCTGGTGATCATTGCAATTGACCCATTGTGTTTCGTGGCTTTTGACAGAGTCCGTCGTCAGTTCTGGTTGTGTTGTCAAACGCTTCACCAGATCCATTCGATAAAACTGGCGGTCGTTCCTCAGTAAAGTTGCGTAAACCCCGTCCATTTCGACGTCGGTTATTTGAGTTTGTTTTAGAGTAGCAGCATACCAAAAACTCCCTTGCGTGCTTTGTACTGCCCAGTGCTAAGATGTTTACATTCTTCAGATTGAAATGGTGGCCTTCTTGATCTTCATTCGCAAAAGATAATAAGTACAAATCATCTCTCCTTACGGCTGCCTTGTGTTCTGCGATTCGTGTACGAAGGCTTCTGCAAGTTTGTCTGACGTTTTTTATCCCGATCACAGCATATTAACTTTTAGACGTCATTGCATTGGTCAGCTTGATTTACATTTTATTTGGTTGTTTAGATCAATTTCCTAATGGTGATTGCTGATTTGTGTGCAACAAAGTTCCCTTATGACGGCAGCAATATTACTGTCATTTTGTAGACCTTATTCAGGTAGGGGAGCACCGTATATTTGTTTGTGTGCTAAGCTGAATGCCTCTTCTGCCGTTGCTGAGAAAGTCGTTTCTTCAAGCTGCGCTTGTCGAAATTTCTCAGGCAAGCATTGCTTCTAAATACTCGATATAGGTGATATTCTTGATATTTCCGCGATTCGACTATGCTGCATTGCGTTTTTGAGCTTTAGAACAGTGATTGGATGCAGCTTTCCTTTTCATTTATGGTAGTCTGTGTGTTAGTATAATATATTATCCCTATGCGTTTTATTGCTAAATACGCACGTTTGAAGTGCTCCGTAATTATTCCTAGACACCAGTATTTCCAAAAAAATGTTAACTTTTATCCTTCTCTAATTCATTAATATTCGTGATATCCTGGAGGATATCAAAAATCACTGAACACAAGGTGACCATAAGTTGATACGATCGGAGCTAATTAGTTTATGCGCACGTAAATCAAGAACGCCAGAATTTTGATCTGGAGAATGTAAAGTTCCAAGTAAATAGAGGTACAAAACACGCAAGGGAGTTTTTAGAAGCCTGCTGCTCTACAACAAATTCAGTTAACCGACCTCGAAATGAACGCAATATATGCAACGCTACTGACGAACGACCGCCATTATGATCGGCAGACTCACTCATAAGTGCAAGCAGAAATAGGCCACGAAACACAAGGGTTCCATTTCATAGGTCACCTGCTCATCAAGCAAGATGAACACGGAGCGACCTCCGATCCAAGAGGATTGCTCGTTTCCGCGCGCAACCACGGCGGTATAAAAACGCAGGCACACCACGCTCAGTGCACCCTTACCGTGGATCCTCCATGTTACTCTACGCTACTGCACTTCACTCAACGTCGTAAAGACTATCTGCTCATTAGATGACAAAACCTTAGAAACAAAATTGTCAACATCAACGACCGATTCAACCGCCATCTGATCAACCTGATATAACAGTATTTAATTTTATAGCGAAGACATATATTTACAAATCATTACACTTTGCTTAGAATTATTCGCAATACTTTCAGTTCTATTGTGCTGACTTTCAATACTGGATTCCTACTAAATACAGTCTGCGCTGACATGAATCGATTTACTATTTACATAAATTTGGCTGTATTTGATAACTAACATTATCTAGACTTCCTCAGAATCTAGTACGACTTTAATGTGAACAAATGCACGCATGTCACTCACAGCCAATTTCATTTCTACTGTAAATAAGTCATGTTGAAACTGCGAGTTAATATTTACAATTGCAACGGAATGTCAAACAGGTTGTTGTAGATGAAGGTGATCCAGGATAACCTTTGGATTTTCATCATTTGGTGTCCATTTTGTTTCTGTGAGCAAAGTAAGTGAATCAGATGCAAAAGTGGATGTGGTAGGTGAGTCGATCAACTCGGTTTTTGCACTGTTGTGTCTATGGTTCAGTGTGCTAGCCTGAGCGGCAACAGCGGCAGCTGCAGCTGCCATGACTGCTGCGGTTGCAGTGCTTTTGCCAGAAAACGAAGTGTGCTGCATTCTGTTAAAACAGTCCTGTTCAGAAAGATCATCATTTGTCTGAGGCAATGAATGGCCTATTGTAGCGAAGCTGAAAGTTGAATATTTGTTTGCTGTATTAGCATACACTGGCTGTATAGATAATGAATTGTGGAGTGGTGTTTCGCCAGTTGTATTAGTCGTCAAAATTCTGGGAAGGCGACGTAAATGTACTGGAGATCCAGTCATCCTCGGTTGCTGCTGATAATGCTTCTCCAGTAGCCGTTGATGGTGCTGACAAAGCAGGGGGAAACTTGGCTGATTTACCTTTGTACTATGCTCAGCCAGATTGCTTAACTTTGGCATTTGACCCAAGGTGTTCTTTACAGGTGCTAGCCCACCTGATGTGGTGCTGGAGTCAGACACCTCCTGAGAAACGTTGATAGTATTGCAATTGGTCGAAATCGGAAATAGTAATCCAGTTGTGTTGGTTCCAGCCGTAAATGTTTTGGCTAAACCTTGAGAAATAAATAGGCCGTTTCCTGGAACACGCGAATTGAGTATTGGCTGTGAACAGGCCCCTACATTTTGCGTCTGTGGGCAACAACTGAGAAGTCCAACTGGGGCTTGAGGACCATCCTGTATTTGGTCATCATTGTGGCAGATATGTGAGGCAAGGGTGTCTTTCAAATCAAAATTCTGACTTGGGTGCTCCGAATGTGCAGTCAGAGAGTATTGCGATGTTGATATCTTTGGGGTCTGAGGCTCAGCTATGGCAGTGTGAAAGGTTTTAACCGCGTGTCGTAACATTGTATGCTGCATACACATGAGCAGCCATGGATCAAATAGCAGGTGGATTACAATGAGTCGGCTGATGTAGGCTGAAACAACTGGGAATTGCAGTAGGTTTTTGATCGCAGTGGACCAAATGACAGGAATAGCACAGCTGAAAAACTCAGTAAATAAGAGAACAAATACAGCGCATAATGAGACACATGCGGTATCCTTATTCTCACACGTTGATCCCGTGGTAATATTCCTTTTTGCTGACCTACGGAGCAATATGGAAAAGAACAAACACACTAAGATTTGTAGGAGCAGGGGCAAAAGGATCATAAGAAACATTGGGACCCAAGCTTCAGTTGAACTTGTCGCTTGCTTTAATGTAGTTACAATCTCATTCCCATTCTGAGAAGAATATGTTGTGACAATTGAAGTCCTATTTAAATGCTCCGGTGCACGACAATGAAGAATTGAATTCAATCCACCAAAGAACACGTTGAGTTTTACAGATTCACTATGTAAAGAAGAGGGTGGTGGATCGCGCATCTTATGACCGTATATAGCAAATGTGATTATTAGAGAGGTTCCTGCAGCCAGAGCCCATGGAAGTGAATGCAACAATGCAAGACAAGCGTAGCTTTGCTGACACTTTTGTTTGGAACAATCTTCACAGTTCCTAAATGCACCAGTAGTACACTGATCAGCTGAGTATTTCTCGCCAGAATTAAATGGAAAAATGCGCAATGCTGGTAGGCGTCGCGTCTGACAAAGACAAGGTAATAGCAAAGCAGATACACTTTCCCAAAAAACTGCTAGTATAGCAGCTAATAAATACTGTCGGGAGCAAAGAATCGTATCCGCAGCAAGGGACGTAGACAGAATGCAAACAAACTCTATCAGTCCTGTTGACGATTGTGGCTGTGTCATACGCTGACGAAGTGCAATACAGACAGCCACTAACTGCATTAGAGACAATACAACACCCAATATACCTGTATGTATCACAAGTGTGTTATACACATAACTGCTATTCACCCATTCAAATGCACAGGTGGACGTAGTAGTCGACTGGGAATCAGTGCCATGGTCATCTTCATCCGTGTTCCGGTGCGTCGACCCAATGCTACGCACTGCGCATGCCGCTAATTTTGACTGATTTGCATTGATTACGGAATCAGCTTCGTATGGATGGCACCTTGATGGGATGTGTTTTTTCGCCTTAATGTATCTTGGATTCAAATGATATCGACGGATGTGAAGCAGATTATCAGAGTTGTTTCCGGAGTCCGTAGTTTCTGCTTCATCGCCCGTATTCTCACTGATTGCACCATCACTCAAAACTACTTTCCAACTCTTGTCAGATTCTGATTCTCGATCGTGAGCAGCAAAACCTTTTGTAATTTCAGGTACCTGCTTTCCAGGAATTTTATTAATTCGCACTTTTTTCGAGTTTAAGTGTCCTTCTTTACAACAGCGATGTCTTTCTGATTGGCATTCGCGTCTAACAAATGACGATGCGTAAATATCGGCACTTCTTTGGCGTGTTTGGTAGCAAGGAGAAAAGCTATGGTAAATTCGATCCATCGGTTTTGACATGATTCCTATTCCACCTTTAATAGTACCCTCCAACTCAAAAGGACATATTTCTCTGGCATCAATCACCTGGCTTCGGGCACAGGCGTCCACTTTCCCTGAGGTAATCTCTAAGTGGAAGTTGCTGCCACTCTTCTTTTTCCGTGCCCGATAAAGTCGCCAGGATATAAGTCCAATCAAAACTAGATTACATGCCAACGATACTGAACAGAAAACTAACGTCATCAGAATAATATTCCATTCGATCGGCTGCAAAGGAAATAACACGACATCTGGCTGTGGGTAAGTGGCCAACGGCTGCAGTCGGTTGTGTGAGTTCAATTGATGTGTTGTTCTTGCTGTCGCATTCACCTTTTGTAATATGTCATGATTTGGGATTCCATTGTAAATTTGCGTGTTGTGTCCAAATGAAGCAACTGCATGCTTAGTTGCATCTTGTTGTTCAGATAATTGCCTCTCTACAAAAAGCGAAGTGTAGTTTTCAAGCTTCGTTATCGGACGGTCGGGGCGGAGTGGCTTACGACCTTCAGGTGGACCAGATGGAAGACGAAAACGCGTGCCATTTGGGGCTACAAGTATTCCAAGTTCATCGATATAAAATGCACCCGATTTTAGCAAGCTGTTTAGATTGAACTGATTCTGGTCCAGCAAGGATAATGACGACGGTAGTTTCTTGGACGAATGGCGATCAGGTACGTTTCCATTATCATCCTTCATATTCAAATTCTGAATCTGCGATAGGAAAATAGAAAGCGGAGCTAACTTGTGTATGACAATTAAGCTAGCTTAGTAGAATGGAATCATCTGAGAAACGAACTGACATATTTATTTATGTAGTTATACTTTGGTGCATATATTTTATTAGAGTCAGCGCTCGTTTAATTGTAACGAGGACAAAACCTAGACATGATGCCGTAGCAGTGGTATACGTTTTGTCCAAAATACACCTGGAATTAGAAGAAGTGCGTTTACTTGTTGTCAGTTATCTAAAAGGAGTTGCTTTTCTTCAGATAGGATACCACAAAAACATTAGCGAACATTAGCGAACATTAGCGGAATGACTCATAAAACTTACAAATTTAAAAGCATTTCAAATGACTTTTGAGTACTTTGGATCAATATAGGTAAGCAATACAAAATTTAGCTAATTTATGTTTCAGTTATTCCGAAATGAGCTATGCATCACAATCACAAAGAATTGAAATTGTTATGCCAATTCTTATCTTCCGTAACCTTTTACGTGAAATTTGACACGTGCGTATTTCATAATTTTGCTATTTAGAAAAAGTAACTAATTTGGTTTAATGTTTATCTCTAAACGACTGATAACTTTGTTAAATGCATCCGAAGATGTCAGGCATGGTTGCTGCCTGTAATATCTATTGGACTTACGAAACTTGATTTTAAATTTTACTTAGTGAATTCTTAAGTTTACATATTAATCATTGCATGTTGTTCAAAAGATCCACTCTAATTGCACGCGGATAAAAATTAGTGTTGTCTTTTTGAAAACAATGCACTACACCATGCGTTTAAACCTTATTTGTTCTCATCACCCGAAAGTATTAATCACCAACTCAGGGACAGTTAAGAGTTATTTATAATTCTAACTTCTTTAACCAACGTTTCACTAGGAGAAGCGCCTAACTAAAGGTCTACTAATTAATTGGCTTCCCAGTAACCGTTGTGTTAAGCGTAATTTGCTGTGCTTTAGTGACAGAAAGGGTAGAAGTACCACTTACCATCTCACTGACGCCTGGATCGAAGCATGATCAATCGACCTAATGCGGTCAAACAACATCAAATCGCGTTGTATGGTGTTTTCCTGTTGAAAAACACCAGATGTCTATCTGATTCAGCTAGCCTATTTGTGCACCGAATTGAGCAATGTACATTTGAATGCGAATAATAGTCCACATAGTGGTCGCGCGTAGCAAATTATGGTAACACCAAAGCATTTAACCCTACCATGCAAACAACATTATTCTTTCTACTCAGCGTTTCCCGTCGTGAAATGGCGACTCAAAAAGTGCATGTCATAAGTATCATCCTAATTTCTACGAGTTTTACGACTGCAATCCCTATCTGATGCGATCAAAAGAAGTCGAAAAGCGTCGTGCTGTGCAGCGTATTCAGACAACAGCAAATATTACCATATTTTTTGATGTGGTTAGCTCTTTTAACTTTGTGACAATCACTCGTATATTTTGATAATAAACCTTATTTAATGATCCGTGCGTTTATAGCTTTAAACATATTGATAGTATAGTAAGATTGCTGGACATTTCCCCATGCCATTGCGATCGAGCCAATATCCTTAGGAATGGAAGAAATCGGTTGTCAACTCGCGATATATATGTGGGCCTACTAAATACATACGTAACTGTAATCATGTTGCTCGCATTTACGTCATATTACAAGTGATGGATATTGTGCAAAAGTAAACAATAAGGTCCTTCCACTAATCGCATATTCTTCATTTAGCAGAATGTCTAGTTTCATTCTCGTTGTGTTTATTTGTCAAGCTTTTATCTTAGGTAATCTCACTTAAGATATTGGTTGTGAAATACAATGCATTGTAAAAACGGTGTATTTTAAAAACATGTGTTATTGAATGTGAATAACTTTTGGTGCATAAAATCGCTTTCTTACCTGGGTTAAAATTTATCTAACAGCCAATATAAACGGGTTTATGCCTTCTCCACAACAAATTGGTAGTAACATAATCCCAGACAGTTCTAGGTTGTTTCCTTTTCGTAATGTCCGCAAAAACTCACATAGCTCTCATGCGTCTAAATAACTCACTCATATATGCAGATGAGTTAAAATTAGCAAATGCGATCTACAGGCTATATAGGGTATAGCTTCAATGCGGTAGATGTACATGTCCAAATCAAAATGCAATATCATGAATTATGGATGCCATATAGATAAAGGAATAGTTCTTCTCCTAATTTTACTGGGTTTGGACTGAGCTATTTTAACTCTCTAAACATCAGTAAACATGCAAACTAATTTAACTAAAGACATTTCATTGGACACGCCATTTAAACTTGAAATCCTTGGTTGAAGCGCGACTTAGCATAGATAGAATGGCCTCAACACTGGGTCACAAATGATGTCGGTCCACGAAATCTGTCCTTCCAGCAAAGACTAAATTCAATGGGAGTTTTCAGTGGCTAACAACGAAAGCTAAAACTCAACCATAACACTAGTCTCAGTGTTATTGCTCTGAAAGTACGTGCAAAGTATAGGCGCCTGGAATGCCATCGGAATTTAATTTATCTTTGGTTTTGCTAACCTTGGATCTCTCTCTCAAATTCAGTATTTCATCCCCCAAATTAGTTTTCGAACAATGTTTGGATCTTGCTCTTAGCCCCCAAAAATTCATCGCCTAATCAGCACTAATTTGGAACATAATAATAATACATTTAATCAAGCTTAATTTTCCACATAAATCTGTGGAGGCGGTACATTATTGTATTTCTCTTTTTTCACTTTCCTCAAAGATTACACCAAATATAACTGCCCCATATTTCCTCCCCGTTCCTATTCAATTAATAATTATATTATGCTGAGGTGACGTTGAGAAAACTTGTGTGCAATCGCTCACTTGTGCACTCGTCGAATTTTAACTGTGGTTCAGCGACAATTTGTCGCACACCTTTGGATTCATACTTATTCGTGGTATTTCTATAAGCTCTACTTGGTGGTACCAGTTTCCCGAGTATACCCCAGTGCATCCTACGTTTACACTGAATTCTAAATTCCGGGCAGTGTTTCGCCGATATCCAAACACCAAAAGTTGCCTAACTCCAAGCACCGGAGACATTGTTTGGTCTCACTCGATAGAGCATTTCAACGGTTATCGAACAAACTGTCACTCGTACAAATCCAACATTGATGCTGCAGTTACAAGTCTCAAAGCAAATTCACCCGACACGATCCATAGGTTTAAGCACCAAAATTCTCAATCACACATCTATGTGTTCTACCCCACTTCCAAGCTGACACATTTGACTGGCACGCCAAAGTGGACAGTCTGCAAGCACACAACTGCAAAGTGAACACTGTGACCTTACTGACAATGTCAATAACAGAACGACTTTTTGCCATGGAAGGTGAGTCATTCAAATGGTTCTTAACATTTGCTCAACAAGCGGGATGCCCAGTGTGTCACAGCCTAAAAACATATGTGGATCATGGACCAAACTTGTTAAGGGGCGTTTTGTGCCGTAACTGTTGCAAGTTCTTTAATGCGAGATGCCTCCGAATTAAACCTAGATTGGCCAAGTTATTAAACAAACCAGACTCGCTACGGTTCTGTGTGAAATGCACATCGATCCCACTAATAAAAACTCTCCCCTATTATCTCAAAATTATGACCAGCTGCTAGCCAAATTTGATAAATGGTGACCACCAAGACAATACGGTAAGTTTAAGCACAGCGGACTGTGTAACCCAATCCTCCCCCTTGGTTGTTGCTCCTATCCCGCGAAGAACTGCTAATAACACCGTAAGCAACACCGCACCTAGAGTCCAGAACATCGACTACTGGCTGACATTCGACTAAAACGGTTCCCAGTTCGATCGCAGTAACGGCACGTAAGGCTACTTCCAAACCGCCGACGGAGTGCGTAGAAGAGGACCAAACTGGTACTAGCGAATGTTGTGTTACGGTTGCCTCCAAGAAGAGCCGATATTTAAAAATAACATCACCCCCAACGGGATTTGGAAATTAGGAGCGTAGCTGAGTTTTCCTAGTGCAAGCATTACCAGTGTCCTGCTGTACATCTCCTACTACTTCAAGCACTAACCGCGACATGTTGAAAGTTGTAACGAATTGTGCGTATTGTGCTCCAAAATCCCACAATAAAGTCCACATCAATAAGAGGCAGGCAGTTGGATGATCTCAACCAGTTGAATATTATTAGTAACCTAATCGGAGTTTACTGAAAACTGTACACGTAGTGCGTATTGCAAGACACCCTAACTGTAAACATTTCGGACAGCCAAGACTTCATCGTGTTGTGCTGAACTCCATCACTGAAGTGGAATCAGTACTACCATCGACAGGTAGTCCAGGAAATGAACACTGATCCATCCGTATCTTTCCAGACATCCCATGAGCCAAGCCTTATCGAGTTAACCGCAACTTAGAGGAATGCGGGAAGGAAACTTCAACCGGAACCATACTACTTCACGGGGTTCCTGAAACTGAAGCATGTGATGAGCATGAAATTTTAACCTATGCTAAATTGGTGTTATATTCGTAAAACACTCTGCATGGATGGTGTGATAGCGAAATCCGTGTCACGACTGCGTATTTCACCGAACTACAAAGGAATTGGCCCGAGAGTTTTGAAAGTGGTCCTTGAGTCAAAACATATGTTAGCACATATGGTAAGAAGCTGGTTCATGTTGCGTTGTAGGCTACCATCTGAGGTTCGACTGAAGACAATCAGTGATATGCCTTCTAGAGTTGATATGTCATTCAACGTACCAAACGCGATGGGATCTATAAAAGAACAATGCCCCCGTAGTGTGTCGAATGAGGCCATACAACCTGTAGAAGATGCTACTGACCAGACACCTTTCACTGTACGTCGAAGATTACAAACGGGGCTAACTACAAAGACGATGAATAAAACGCTAACCCGTCACCAATTACACATCGGGAAAACCATTACTTACTGGCCGCTCACTGGTCGGCGAAAATTCACGTATGAGTT